AAAAGAACCAATTGAGAAAGCTGGGAGCAAAAGCTGAGCTGAGGAGGAATGAGCCCAGAAAATGAATTTGAGGTTAAGTCAAGAATCTGGAGGCCAGAAAGATTGCCCAGGAATGGTGAAATCTTACCTTGGAGCTTTTGGCCAACCTGACTGAGTGAGGTAACATGTTGTAGACGGGTCACAAGCAATGCCAGACCAGTTGCAATGATGGGTTGTGTCAACCCAATCTGCCAATGCTCCATTTGGGTCGTGAGTGATAGAGCTTTTGAAAGCTTTCAAAGCTTCAATTTCAACTTCCAGGGAGCTTGATTCAGCATTTGAAAGTATATTTGAAATGGAAATGAACAAGACTATGAGTATAGTCAAACTGATCTTTGGAGGCATCGGAATTGAAGGAAGGATAGAAGATGGGTAGACTCAGCTGCAGTTTGCAGATATGGTGAAAGCTGAACTAGAAAATGCCTTTATATAGACGAAGTTTTGACTTCCAGAAGAGCAATGAACCCATTTGTGACAGTTTTCACACATCACATGCTGGTGGGTCAAATGATTAGCAGAGATTAAGGACGAAGTTCTTTATTGTTTGGACAAAGACTTGACCATGTTGAAGCTGACTTCTTGAGTTCATGTCGGTATCGCCAAACGAGCTGCCTCCTATAAATCATAACGCAGATTGAGACCTTAGATAATGATGACGGTGTAATAGCAGGAAAGAGAGAGAAGTTGCAGGCATGTTATCCATATTCAGAGCCCAATATCAACAAATGCAGCAATTATAGTGTCTTAGACGGTTGGTGCAATGAACTTTCAACTTAAGGGTTTCAAGTTTGGTCTACATTTTTCTCCAACCCATGGGCGTAATTAATCAACAAGTATGACCATAGATTTTCGCAAAAGCTCCAGTTTTGAGTAGAATATTAGTTAACACACGTGGAAGTGATGACCCAGAAAAACAGGGAAGCAAGTGGACTAATATATGATAATATGAGTATAGAGAAATAGGAGCATTAGATATGAGAAATAGTAGTATAATAATAGAGAGGAAGCAAAGCTGCAACTGCAAGTGGTGTATGAAACGCGGTATGGAGGGGTAGAGTGGGGTCCTCATATGATATGCATCATTAAACAAGTTGGCAACAAGGTTGGTGACATACTTTGACCAAGAGAAACTAGTGGTGGAGCGATAGGTCGTTGTATTGTAGTGAATTCCATTCATTCATACTTCATTTGTCAGAGAAGGAGACATTGTTTTTAGTGGAATCTTGCATATATCTGAGTCGGCAGTACAGATAGAAGCTTTAACAACTCTGTAGTGTTAAGACATTGTTTTTACTGGCATCTCGCATCACTCAGCAGCAGATAAAAACATTATTAAGGAAAGGAAAAATTGATAATAATATCGATGACAGCTGTGGGATTTGAACCCACGCCCTTTCGGACCAGAGCCTAAATCTGGCGCCTTAGACCACTCGGCCAAACTGTCAGGTGACGATGCCCTTCATATGATTAATAATATATGCAGCAATTTAACCAACTGTTTCGCTCTCCCTTCTCCAATGTAGGGCAGGGGATGTCTTCCCACTTTGGATTCATAAAATTTTTTAATGATTTTTTTTCCCCATAGTTTTATAGCAAAAATGTTATTTTATTTATGGAATTATTGAATTATAATTTTCCTTTTTGTATTGATGTTTTATGTGAAATTTCCTATTAAAAGACAGAATATGTGTTGCCATTCTTAGATTATATTATGCATCAGATAGTCAAAATTAGAATTTTGATGAGTCGGGATAAGTAAAAATTACATGACACAGGAGATTATACCAGTTATAAATATCTTGTAAATTATAGTAGTTTATAAAATAACTCATTTTCAGATATCAAGAAATAGCCATTTTGAGATATACAATAGCCTGTGGTTTGGTCAAATTTTCAAAACTCATTTTAGTTGATTAAGTTATTTGCTTTGCTAAATTAACAAAACAAGACATTTTTATATATTCCTTAAGGTTTTTTTTTAATGAAAATATATCTTCAATTAATGAGATCCATATCATTTCTCATGCAGATCAAATCAATATGTTACATGTAAGGCTTGTAACCAAAAAAAAAAAAAAAGGTCATCGAATCTGTACCTTTGCTTCAAGAGAACATGCAAATTTTCCAAACATAATTGAGAATATTCTAATTTTATATAGGTTCCTTTAAGCTACTAACTAAAAACAATAATCCAGTAGGTGGCAAGGGAATTAGCATTTCTAATGCAAAATTAAACTAGAGTAATCCTCATTGTGTACGCATATTATACATGATATAATATAGCTGACAAATTTGACTTGGTCAATAATATAATCGGATGCAGAATAGATTACTAATACTAGCTCCTTGTAAACATCGGACTAAAACCACATTGAGTGTAACCCTTTTACTTCAAAAGCTTGCAAAAAGATAAAAATAATAATAATACTGATAACATAATCTATTGACCCAAAAAAGATAATTTAAGTCAAATAAATTAATACTTGTAGTGAACATTAATTATAGGTTAGACATACAATAAATGACAACTAAGCCAATGAAACAATCATGTGCATGATTTCATCAGTGGGATTAATCAATAGCCAATAATAAGTTGCAATATTATGCATACCTTCTAGAAGTAGTCTTCCATTGGCTCATGTATAAGTCGCATGCAGAATTATTAATCACTATTTTTCAATTTTATTCTTATTTATGAGGAGTACGCATTGGATAGAGAAAGAGGAGACATGCTAAACAGATTTTAATAAGGGCAAATTTTTTTTTTAATTTAAGATAAATTTTATAAATTAATTGATCTTCCTCAATTCGAGTGAGATATATTTTTTGATGAAAAGAAGGAGTGTTATACTCTTTAATGTGTTGTTAGAGTGATTTATAGTTTTTTTTTTTAAAACAATACATGATTCGGTATGTGTGGAATGTAAATATAAAAAGGAAAAATTCCAAAAAAAAACTTCTAAAATTTTAAAATCTTAAATCGGGAATGACTACAAAAATGTGCTGTTATTTGCTTTTCAAATATTGTTGATTATTATTAAAGTGTAATGAATAAGTTTGATTTGAAATTTTAAAATTCAAAAATATTTTTTTTGAGATTCTCTCTTATAAAACAAGATTCCTAATATGTACTTCTATGCTCCTTAAAATAAACTCTAATTAATTAATTTAAATAAATTAAAGATGTTAGTTATGTGATATGCTATTTCTAAAACACCGCATCTTTCTTGATTCTCCTCCTTCCTCTTCTATTTAACTGTTGTTGGAAGAATATCAATAAAATTAATTTGAAAAAAAAATTGAGAAAAGTTGATAAATATATGAAATAAATTTTATATATAAAACAAATTAACATTAACTTCTTAATTAGATTTTACATTAAGGATTAAAGATCGGAGGAGTATGAAACTTCCTATGAATAAGAATATTTTCTTATTCAAGAAGAAAGCATAAACAGAGAATTAAAGAAATAAAAGAAAGAAAGAGAAGAAACAAAACAGGCGTAAGCTAAAGAATCAACACAAACAACAGATAAGAAAAGAACCATATTGTTAACAGGCGCAAGACACATCAATGGCAATAAATTCCAAAAATATCATCATTCTAAACCCAAAAAAAAAAAATTATGTTAATTTGTCATGCATAGCTGCAGTTTCTGAAGGACAGAAATGTGAAACAAACCCGATGTGTGATTTTGGGTCTTGAGAATTAAAAATGGCATGTTCTTCCCCAGGAAGCTTCCGTTTTTCCAATCTCAATCTGGGGCTCACTTCTCTGCAACTTCGAGCATGTAAATAATTAATTAAAACTGATTACTCACAACCACATTAGGTTGTTTGCTTGCGACTTGAGAGGCATAGTTTGTTAGTCCGCAGAAATTTGATTTTATTTTAGTTTTAGACATGATGATTAGTTCAATTATAAAGTTGTTTTATTTGGTATATTCTCATTTAAAATATTTAATGGCATTTTTAATCTATAACGTAAGTGATTTTGGAAAAACATAAGCACATCTTATAGGAGTTAATACATAATTTTTGTAATTAATACTTCTTCTTTTTTTTGGCGAATTGATTAATACTTCTTTTTATTCATTATATATATAAAAACTTATATGCTGCTCAAACTAGATTTTACAAAAATTCAAAGTGGATTTTATAAAAACTAGATTTTATTCATTAAGCAATACCATTGAATAATTCGAAGTGGAAGATTTTACAGGAAGCAAAACCTTCTCCATTTATTTATTTATTTATTTATTTGCGTGGGCGTGTATTGAATTAATTCATTTTTATATTTATAAATTCAACAATTATATATAGAACATGAATGTGATAGATAACAGAGGAATACTATTAATAGGCCTGACCCGACTCTCTTGCCAATTAAGATCAACCTCTGTATGAACCCTAATTAAACCTTTCCTTTTCATATATGTTCCATTTAATTTGTTATCTGCACTGTCTCAACTCAAGAATACCAAGCAGGGATATGCAGTATTCCTTGGAGACAATCCAGCTTGTTGCACAGCAACATATGCAAAAACCTCTATATATACCTTGCCCCAAGACTCTCAGTATCACATCACACTCCACAGCAATTGGTTAATCATATAGCGAGCTTCTTTTCACTCCTCAGAGAGTTGCTGTTCAACATGGCTGTATCTGCTGGGTCTCTTCCAGTTCCACTTTCACCTCTCTTCATTTTCCTTCTCCTGCTCACTCTCAACTCAGGTCATATTATACATTACTAGCAGCGTCTCGCCCATATATATTATATATGATTGGCCTGTTGTACGTGTGTGTGTGTGTATGACTGTATATCTAGCTAAGTGATTTTAAATTTGGTTGGTGCTGCAGGTGGGAATGTGAAGATGGGCAACGGACAGGTGAAAGTAAAACACAAGACTCTTCTGTTTCCGGGAATATTTGTTTAGTGATGATATATGATGGGTTGTATATATGGAAGCAGGAAAACGAGAGGAAGTGGTGTGTGGCGAGGCCTTCAGCAAGTGAAGCGGAGCTGGAAGCAGATATTACGTATGCATGCAGTCACGTGAGGGATTCGTGCAGGCTGATTCAGGAAGGCGGAGCCTGCTTCTTCCCTAACACACTCATCAACCATGCCTCCGTTGTTATGAATCAGTACTATGCTGACATGGGAAGGAACTCTTGGAACTGTGACTTCTCTGCCTCTGCTCTTCTTGTTCTCTCTAACCCAAGTACGTACACTACCTGCCCTTCTTTCTTTTTAAATCTATACACTGGCCCAGCTTGGTCTTGTGATTGCTTGGATTCTGAGCTCAACCAGTTGATTCTCTTGCAGGTTATGGTGGTTGCTCTTATGCCTAGTGGAACTAATAAATGACTCGTGGCGATAAAGATCTGGGTTTTGATATAGCTAGTACTAAAGTATGTTTAAAGTTGGATACAGGCATCAGTATGTGTAATCTAATGAATTTACAGTAATAAAGTTGACATCTTCGTGAAAATCCCGGATGTTCAAAAAAGGGCGAAACAACAAAAGGACAAACATAGTGGAGGGGCATTCCGAGAATTGAACTCGGGACCTCTCGCACCCTAAGCGAGAATCATACCACTAGACCAAATGCCCATCGGCGCGGCGTTTAATCCTTTTATTGGTTTCACTTTATGCATCTAATGTCGTCCGCGGAACCATAAGGGCCCTAATATTTGAGCATCTTGAACGCTAAAAATATGAGAATGTTATGCAGGAAAAAATTCTATATATCATAAACTGCTTCTTTGGGCCATCTATTAATTATTAAAGATGGTGTGAAAATTAATTTTAAAAAAAAAAAGGCAAAGCTAAAACCTTGAGAAATATTATAAACGCAATGGTTCATTTTTTTGGTTAAAAACCAATTTGTTACAACATGCTTTTGAAATATCCCTCGTGGCGCATTACAAATTGAAACTAACAATCAATATATAAATTAATAATTAATAAAAAAAATTTAATTTTTTTGGTAGTAATTTTAATTTCTAAACTAACGCAGCCCATCAAAAATTATGATAGAATTATCATTTTCTATTTTGTAATTTATGATTATAAGCTGCTCAATTATTCTCCCTTAACACCTTACTGCAATTCTCCTTTGAAGAGGAAAACGCGAACCGCACGTGATTGCGATCTTCAAACGCTCGTTTGCGGGAAGCGGAAACGAGCTGCTTCTGCATTGGGAAAAGCAAGTGGAATAATAATAACGGGCGGTTGAAAGGCATTAACAAATCCCTCGAACCTCGCCCGCTGAGCAGAACGGATCCTCTTGCCGCAGTCCCTGTGCTTCCGACTCCGGTGCCGGCGCCCTCAAGTGTGCGTGTTCTGTTGTTGACGGTGAACAAGCAAAGCTTTGACATTCTGCGCGAATAGAAGTTTCTCGGCCTTTCACTCAGAGCGAGAAGTCAGGCAGCGATGGTTTGGAGAAATCTGGAGCAAATTAGACTCACGGCCAAAGAATTAGGGAATTTGGCATTCTCGCTTGTGAAAATCCCCTTTTCTCTTCATGTCACTGTTGTAAACTCTCTCTCTCCCTCTCTCTACTCTCTTGTTTAGATTGTATTTCATGATAAAGAGCATCAAAAGGATGGTTCGAATGTGCAGGCCTATGGCCCGAGCATGCTTCCGACAATAGGTCCGATGGCTACCTTTTTATTGGCCGAAAGGAACTCCCCACGTTTTGGTAAAGTTGAGCGCGGGGATATTGTCGTTGTGCAGTCACCTGAAAACCCTCAAAAGTTCATAGTCAAGCGCTTGCTTGGATTGCAGGGTGATAGTGTCACATTCCTTGTGGATCCTAAGAACAGTAATAAACGCAAGACTGTAGTGGTACCATTAATTTCTCATACACATTCTTCAATGTTGGTTGATTCAGAAGGATTTTTTTAAGTGATTTTGATATTTCGATGATTTTGAACTTTTCGAATTTGTTAATCTGTATCTTCCTGGATGGTTATGATGATTGTTTCTGTTGTGTGCTTGCCTCTCTTGCTTAGGTCCCCAAGGGACACGTTTGGCTAGGGGGAGATAACATATATAATTCCAGGGATTCAAGATATTTTGGTCCTGTTCCTTGTGATCTTCTTCATGCCAGGGTCTTCTGGAGGGTAAGTTCTATTCTTCCATCATTTTTCTGTGTTCCCTCACTTTTTCTCTACTGTTTTTCGCCACTAAACTTCTATTTATTTTGCCCCCAGGTATGGCCACTTGGGGATTTTGGACCCATGGGTAAAAACTGATCGAAGATTTCAGCTTTGTGAAGCACAGTTCCTTAGCAATGTTACCACTCTTTTTTGTTCAATTCCTAAAGGTTTATACTCGCCTGAGTTTCATTTTAACTCACGAAGTGCCATTTCACCTATTTGGAGCTGTAAAACTCGTTGTTCCTATAAGATGAAAGATGAAAGGCAGTGACGTGTGACATGGTTCAGGAATTGTGCATCAGAATAAACACGGAAATACCTGCAGCGAATTATTTTCAGTAGTATAGCACATTCTTTTATATGTATGTGGTAGGATTAGCCTATAAAGTTTGGTGGAAGAGCATTTTATGTCCTACCCATTGAAGAAGCTGGTTGTTAAAAATGAGGAGGTCCACGCATAGCTAGCATTTTATCAATCTCAGTATGAAGCGTTTTTATGCACCACTTTTAGTTTTCTGTTTATCTCATGAGGGAGAGTTTTGTAAATCTCAAAAGAGTATTTAAAAAAGATGTTTTTACACAAATCTAAGCAAAACTCCTCTCAAGATAAAATCATTTCCAATTTAATAACTCTGACATGCCCTGAGGCTTTGATGACTGAAGACCATGACAAAAACTGATGCTGGGGAATCTCCAACTTGAGATTTTAGGTATTTTTTTCACGGGAAGACGTTCAAGGCTTGAACCACAAGATTTTGAAATTGTGATTCCATTTACTCTGAATTTTTGGCTGTGGTTCTAGTAATGTTTCAATTGGTTACTACTTCTCGTTCTATTTATAAAATCTCATTTGTACTTTATAAATAAAATTTTATAATTAGGAGTGGAGGTAGTATTAGTTAATATAAATTTTTCAGGATGGAAAACTACATTCTATAGGTGGAAACAACATGCATTTTGGCCCAAAAAAGAGAAAAGGAAGCTACGTATATTTGTTTAAGGGCTTGCTCGTGATGCATCATCAACAGAAACAAACAATAGATTATTATTTTGTTGTTAATTAACGCTTATCACCTTGAATATCGCCTGGTAAAAATTTTAGGGCTCCTAATTTTTAAATGTACCATTAAATAGAAATATATCTTTCCTTTCGTCTAAAAATAAAGAAATAGTTAATTTTATCAAATCATTAACTATAGAATTTTTTTCAGGCTAAAATACATAAAATTCTTCTAATTTTGAATCAGTTGCGCATTTCCTCTTTAATCTTTAAAAATTTAAATTAAGGATCCAGATATTTCATTACCATAAAATTATTATTAAAATTAATTAGTTTTAACGTGTCATAATTTTTATATTTTTATTATATACCATTTTATTTAAAAAATAATATTTGGCGTTGACATGTAAATTTGAATATTTTCTACTTTTTTATTTAAAAAAGTAAATTGTAAAATAAATATTTTAAATATTTTTTGAGTATTTTGTATTTTTTACCATTTTATTTTAAGTATAAATATATATAATTACTTGCCAATTGCTAAATATTATCTTTTAAAAAAATTGAAATAATATATAATAAAAATAAAAATTTATATTACATCATCAAAACATTAATATGCTTACAGCAGGAGAGTTGATAGTCAAAATATAAAACATTAGAATCATTAATTTAAATGTTGGGAATAATATTGGAGATACCTATATTTTCTTTTAATTTTTAATTTGATACTTATGTGTTTTTTTTTCCTCTTAAGTAAATCATTATGTGTTTTTTTCTCTTAAGTAAATAATTTGATTTTATTTTTTTAGCAACACTAACCCTAGTAACTTTGTTCTATTAGTATTTTTAATCTGTATGTAAGGATTAACGATGTTAGTGGGGAAAAAAACTAAAGATTTAATTAAAAGAAAAAACATATAGGTATCAAATTAAAAATTAAAAAAAATACAGATACCTCTAAAATAGTTCTTTTTTTAAAAATGTTTAAAGATCAGGGACGTAACATGCAACTAATCCAAAATTTATGAGAGTTTTGTGCATATTAATTTTTTTATACTCATCAGATTCTAAATATAAAATCATTATATTAGTGCGTATAAAAATTTTATATTTGGAATTGGAGAAGTATTTTTTAAGTTCAAAAGAGCGTAAAAGTTCAGAGAAAGTAATAAAAATTACCAGCGGCCAATAAGCAAAAGTCCCGAAGCATTAAAAAGTAATAACAATAAAGTTCAGCTGAAAAAGAAAGGAATCATGGTTGTATTTCTACTTTAAAAGAAGAAAGAAAGAAAGAAAACAGATTTTTAAAAAAAAAAAAAAAACAGAAGATGGAAGGATCAATAAGCCGGGTTGACCGCCACGAAAAGGTTAGTTACGGTTACCATTTTCACAGCCTAACAGCTCGTTATTTTTTTTTTCATTTTACCTTTTAAGCCCCCCGCCCCACGAAGGCTTGAACGAAGTTTCCTCTCCCTTCCTTTCTTCCTTTATCAGTCCGCTGCTCCTCACTTTCAGTCCCTCCCTCCCTCCCTTCCTCTACCAGTCTGCCCTCTGCCGCCCCTCACTCTCAGTCTCTCACAGGCTCTCACCCTCGTCTCTCATTCACCTTCACAATCGCGACTCGTCGCTGCCACCCTGCTCTCTAGCTCCCGACCTCGGCGTTAGCGGCGGCGGCGGCCTTGTGTCGTGGGTGTCGGCACTCGACGCTCTGTCTCTGCTTAAGCTTGGCGCGACGTGACTCCTCTCTTCGGCGTCCCAATCTTTCAATCTCCGTTAGCTGATGCTTCCTCGTCCTAATCCCTCTCTTCCCTTTGTTTTTGATTCATTTCCACCGTTTCGAGCTCGTGAATTAGTGGAGACCCTGTTAGTGTCCCCCAATCAAGCCGAGAGTTCGAGTGGCTTTCTTATCCTTCTTTACGCTGTATTGGATCATTTGGATTGTATTTTTATACCACGGTTCCTCCTTTATTATAAGTTTAAATAAGAAATAAATAATAAATGAGGAAAAAAAATATGTCAACAAATTTTTAAATATTTTATAAAATTATATCATAAGTTCTTGGTGTACGGTCTTCAAACGCTCGTTTAGGTGTGTTTGGTATAAGGGATTTGAGAAGGAAGGGGAGGGATTTTAATCATTTCCCCTTGTTTGGCAACACACAAATTTTAGGAGGGGAGGGAAAATTTTTTAAAATTTCCCCTCCCCTCCTCAACCTCCCCTCCAAAATTGGGAGGATTTGGAGGGAAAAGGCAATATTTTGTCATATTATGATTATTATGCCTATATTTTGTCATGTTGTAATCATTATGTCTATATTTTGTCATGTTGTGACAATTATGCCCATGCCTTAAATAAAATAAGAACAAAATTGTTCATATTAAAATATTTTTCCCTCCCCTCCCCCTCTTTTTTTATAAATCCAAACAAGATAATATTAAAATCCTTCCACTCCCCTCCCCTCCCCTTCCCTCCATTAAAATCCCTCCCCTCCCCTTCCTCTAGTTGAGCCAAACATACCCTTACGGGATGGGAAACCAGTACAGGGAGACGGGGTTGAAACTTGTAAGGCACTAAAAAATCCCTCGCCTGCTGAAGAGAAGAGAACGGATCCTCTTGCCGCAGTCCCTGGGCTTCCGACTCCGGCGGCGGCGTCCTCAAGTGTGCGTGGTCTGTTGTTGACGGTGAACAAACAAAGCTTTGATATTCTGCGTGCATAGGAGTTTCTGGGCCTTTCAGTCAGAGCGAGAAGTAGGGCAACGATGGTTTGGAGAAATCTGGAGCAAATTGGACTCACCCCCAAAGTATTAGGGCATATGGCATTCTCACTTGTCAAAATCTCCTGTTGCCTTCATGTCACTGCCACCTATCTCATAGACCCCGCTATTGTAAGCTCTCTCCCCCCGCCCCTCTTTGTTTGGATTATATTTCAGGATAAAGAGCATCAAAAGAGCTGGTTCGAATGTGCAGGTCGGTGGTCCTAGCATGCTTCCGACAATGGGTCCGATGGCTACCTTTTTATTGACCGAAAGGAACTCCCTGCGTTTTGGTAAAGTTGAGCGCGGGGATATTGTCTTGGTGCGGTCACCTGTAAACCCTCGAAATTTATTGACCAAGCGCTTGCTTGGATTGGAGGGTGATAGTGTCACATTTCTCGTCGATCCTAGGAACAGTGATAAATGCGAGACTATAGTGGTAACATTAATTTCTCATGCACATTTTTCAATTTTAGTTGATTCAGAAGGATTATTTGAAGAGTGATGTTGATATTTCGATGGTTTTGAACTTCTCGAATTTGTTGGTTTGTATCTTCGTGGTTGGTTATGGAGATTTTGTTTGTTGAGTGTTTGCCTTTCTTGCTTAGGTTCCCAAGGGGCACGTTTGGGTACAGGGGGATAACATATATAATTCCAGGGATTCAAGACAATTTGGTTCTGTTCCTTATGGTCTTCTTTATGCCAAGGTCTTTTGGAGGGTAAGTTCACTTTCTTTGTGTTCCCTCACTTTTTTCTCTACTGTTTTTCGCCACTAAACTTCTATTTATTTTGCCCCTAGTTATGGCCACTTGGAGGTTTTGGACCCCTGGGCAAAAACTGACCGAAGAATTCAGCTATGAGAAGCACAATTCCTTAGCAATATTACCACTCTTTTTTGTTCAACTCCTAAAGGTTTATACTGGCCTGAGCTTCATTTTAACTTGCGAAGTGCCGTTTCTCGTCCTTGGAGCTGTAAAACTGGTGATTCCCATAAGATGAAAGGCTGTGACGTGGGACATGGTTCAGTAACTGTGCATCAGACTAAGAACATAAACGCCTGCAATGAGTTATTTTCAGCAAGATTGCATATTCTTTTATATGTATGCTAGGATTAGCTTATAAAGTTTGGCGGAAGAGCATTTGATGTCCTAACATTTAAATTGTTGTCCTATTGAAGAAGCTGATTATTAAAAATGAGGAGGTCCGGGCACAGCTAGCATTTTATTAATCTTAGTATGAAATGTTTTTATGTACCACTCTTACTGTTCTGTTTATTTCTCAGTCAAAAATCAGACATGCCTGGAGGCTTTGATGAATGAAAACCATGACAAGAACAGATGTCGGGGAATCTCCATTTTGAGGTTTTAGGTATTTTTTTCATGGGAAGATGTTCAAGGTATTCTGAAACTCTGGTTACCATGTATTCTGATATTTAAGGTGTAGTTTTCGTCAGTTCAGAACTAGGTATTAAGCAAAAACGTGCTAGACAACCTCTGTGTCATTAACCTTCAAAGACTGTCAAACTCCATACACACGTGAGCTCCCTTATACCACCATGATCCTGATGTCCCACAAGATGCAAATTCCAAAACGGACATTCTCCAACACAAGATCTTTTTGCTTCAGAGAGCTCCCCACAGCCTCATTGATTTCTTTGCTTCGCGAAGGTGTGGTTTCAGATTGGATTTTCTATGCCTAGTTCTGCGATATGCACCAGTTCCATCTTGAGTCAGTGCTCTTGGACCTTTTGTGTATCAAGATATTGGCTCCTGAACTAGTTGGGGGATTTGTTATTCATTGTGGTTCGAGTCTCAGTGATGAAAGGGCGAGGCTTTACTACCTGGCGCTTTTGATAATGTTTATTCCAGCAGTGGAGCAAGCTATTTGTGATTTTTTTGGGTTGAGTTGGTTTGATTTGAGTGGGTTGTGCCGCTTGTTATGCTTATTTCGACATTATCCTGTCTGGAACTAGAGCAGTTTTAAATGAAGTGACTGTTTCTGTATAATCCTATCCATGTATGAATTTAATTATTCTAATTGAAAGTTTAATTTTTTTTCCCCAAAAAATGATGGTGTATTTTAGAAAAAGTTAATTAGCTACCATATAAATGTTTGAGGCTACAATAGTACAGGGGAACAACATGCATATTGGGCCGGGAGACAGAGGGAGAGAAGGAACCTACATGTATTTTTATCAGAGCTCGCTCATGGTGTATCAGTTATCACCAACAGAGACCAACAATTTAAAATATTGTTCAGTTATTAATTAACGCTTCTAATTTTGAATGTCGCCTGATAAAAAATTCATGGCTCCCAACAATTAAATGTACCATCAAATAGAAAATATGTCCTTTATTTCATTTTAAAAATTAAAAAATAGCTAATTCTTTTTTTTTTAACCAGAAAAGGCTAATCCTATTAAATCATGAACTACAGATTTTTTTTTTATAATTTTAAAGTTCAAAAGAGCCTAAAAGTTCAGAGAAAATTAAAAAAATAAATAAATTACCAGCGGCAAACCTGGTACAACTTAAAAAAGAAAGAAAGGAAGAAAGGAAGGGTGCTTGTTTTTGTAGCCCCAAAAAAAGAGAAGAAAGAAGGAAAACAGATTTAAAAAAGAAAGGAAAGATGGAGGATCGATAATTAGTCTCTCATAATTAAAGAGCTTCAGGTTGTGATTAATTAATAAGAAAGCCAACATATCTCTTAAACCAAAATATGCATTACTCTCAATCCCCCATCTCTTTGAACTGCATTTGCACCTTTTAAAAAGGCATAACCAGATTTTCCATCCTTTTACATATTTTATATTCAGATTTTAACTTGGAAAATTTTTTTAAATATTATATGTATTTTTGCCAACGTTTTAAATATTATATCGTAAATTCTTAATGTTGCATAGTATACTATAACAAAATAATAATGAAGTTTGAAGGAGGCCGCTATACTTATAAATTATTCATAAACAAAAGTCGACTTTATTATTATTATAGATATCACATTATAGCCGAACAAGTCCTCCGACCAAAAATGAGCTCAATTAATGCCTCCGTTTCACATTCTCCAACGACCTTCCTTATTCATCACCCCTCTTCCTTCTCCAACAAGACACAGTCACAGAATAGTCAGAAGACAGACATGGAAATACCAAAATAAATTTGTTAGTTTCCATTTTTGATCTCGCCGCCATCCGAAGCACAGGCCCCATCATCATCATCATCACTTTCAGCGACATTACCGTCTTCCTTCAACTGTAACTTCTCTGCAAGTACCAGCAAAGACGACGCAGCCTCCATTTCTCTCTTCCGCAGCTTCACGTCTTCCCTGAGTTTCTCCAGCGACCGCTTGAACCCCTCCAGCTTGCTCAGATCATCAGGACCGCTCTCAGGCCCCAGCCCGTACTTGGCCATCTTCTCCTCTATCGCCTTGTCCAGCATTGCGCCTTTTTTCTTCTCTTCCTCCAGCTGCCTCGTCAGATTAATTAGCCGCTTGTTCAGTTTCTCCGCTTTTCGAGAAGCTTTCTTCGAAGAAGAGGAGGAGGAGGTCCCACCAGCCGGCCATTTCGCTTCCTCCTCGTCCTCGTCCTCCTCGTCGTGGAGGTGCCGGAGAAACCTCTGAGTCACCACGTCGACGGACGGATGGCCGAAGGAGAAAGGTTTGCCGCCTGGCGAGAACACCACAATGGCGAGTTCGGCGCCGCACAGGATTGCTAACTCGTTCGCTTTCTTGAAGAGCCCGTTCCGGCGCTTTGAGAACGTCACCAACCTCGACGCTGCGTCCTTCACCATCTCCATCTTGATTTTCCGACGACCCATTGGCTCAGTGACCACTTTCTTCTTCTTCTCTTTGACTTTGAGGATGGAGGAATGTATGGTATATATACACAAAGAAAAGACACTGAAATTAATGTTTCTAATATGAGATTATTATTACTATTTATGGCCATTTTGGCTATGATGGTATTGGTTTAATTACTTTTCCCCTACTTGCATAGGTTGAAGAATCAACACTAAGGCTCTGTTTGGGTGCTCCAAAACCATGGTTTCAGAAGCACTTTTCCGCAAAACGAGGTAACCTCCTCCACATATTTATTTCGTAATCCGTAAAAGCACTTCTGAAACCATGGTTTGGTTTTTATCCAAACACTACCTAAATATGGTTTGGCATTTTTCAATTCAGTTGTCTTGGATTTTGGAAAATAATAAAGTTGGTATGCCTTTATCGGTTTTTTTTCCTTCAACAGCTTAAAGTAAAGAACTGCAGGATTTTTATTTTTTTGGCTTTTCATTATGGTTCAGTACATACATTGCACAAATATTTAGTATTCCACTTTTGAGGTCTTTAAAAATTGGATATGTTTCTGTGCAACTCGTGTAAAGGATTCGTCTGGGCTGCCATTATTGGTCATGGAACCATGAGGACAGGGTGAAAGCATGCATGCAAAAAATTAAGGGAGTAGAGGCTGCTTTGTATAAAAACTATCTTATCACTTATTCAAAAGAGTTTGAACATTTTTATAATTAAATATAAATCATGTGACTTTCTTTCGTTGAAGCAAATAAATCCAGGGATCTTTGTGTTAGGAAAGAGGAATAAAATTAAAATGCTATCTTTCATCTTTAATATAAGAGCCAGATAACCAATTTGAGGAAATTAAAGTACTGTTTGGTATGAGGAAAATTGAGAGAAGTGAAAGGAAAGAAAAATTTTAATGAGCTTTATTTAAAAAATTTAGAGAAGTGGTGTTTTAAAACTTTAATAAAGAGAAAAAACAATATAAAAAAGTAACAAAAATTAATTAAAAGCTTTTAACCTGACTTTTTAATTTTTTAAATCAACCTTATCAAAAAAAATTCTCCCTGGCCCTCCCCTCTCCTCCATTTGCCTCATACCAAATAGATCCTAAAAAAATTAGTTAAGTTAGTTACTTGTAATAAATATGTGTTAATTTTTCTGAATTATTCTTATTCAATCATAGAGTACATTGGAACAACCTTTGGTTGTGGAAACACATTATAATCAGTAAGGATATTTTAAAAAAAAAATACATTATAAATTTGAGAGACAAAACAGATTGAAATCTTATATTTAGGATATACAACTAGCTCTTATATATATTTAGAACCGAAAGTAGTGTTAAATTTCATAGAAAATGTCTTTTTTAACTAGGGCCATGGCTTAGTAAATTGAATTACTCCTCTCATCACCCGAGTTGTTAAATTTTAAGATAGAGTTAATAAGATTTAAGATTTTTCATAATATTAATAAAAATATTAAAAGTGATCTATAAAAATAAAATCAGCATGATAATTTGTCGGACTATTAAGAATATGTTTACTTTTGTGTGTAAAAAACAAAAGTTTATATCTGTCCTCTAAGGGCAAAGACTATGACGTTACTAATTAGTTGTATGGATTTTTTGTCCTAAGAATGTTTGAATTTCTCTCCTTTCATTTCTATACAATTTCAGTATCTTATTTGTCAAATATGTGTAATAAAAAATTAATTTCTTTTATTTGTATTATAAAGGTCTAAACTATAACCTATTAACCATTCACAGCATATTATTTTTCATCATTTTTGAGTTAAAAATAGCTTTAGAATTTTGAGACTTTTGATAGATGGAAAAAGCTTTTTATCCCTCTAAAGTTTGTGACATAAATCTCTTATCGCAACATTTTGAAAAACATAGTTTGATGAAAATGCTTATTTTTCGAAATGCAGTATGGATTAATATTCCTAAAATTGTTAGTTCGAGTTGAAAATCAAAATAAAAGAGAACTCATTCTCATAAATGCTGCATTAAGGGGGTCAGAGGAGGCCCTCCTACCTTCGCATGCATTGACCTGCGTGCACTCACATCCGCTTATAAATCGTATTTTGATGTTTTAGTCAACGCATTCCCTTCGGTCAAAGTTCAGTCTGCATTTAATTGTAATATGATCTGATTAATGAATAGGGTAAAATTATTTCAGATCGAGTCAACTAATTTATAAAACTTTAGAAAATAAGGTAAATAAGCTGTTTATTACTTTATTATCAGAGTGGTGACGCATCTTAACCTTTTTATTAATATTCTGTCTTTATTGTCTGTTAATTAGAGTGGAAGCTTTTTGTCTTAAATATAAATCACTTGCCGGATATTATATAATCATTTTTCAATTTTATTATTATTTAATTTTTAAAAAAAATAAAAATGTGAGAATGATTTTTAAATACAAAAAGAAAATTTTTAATAAAGGTAAATTTAAATTTTTTATGAATTTAATGTATTTTTTTATTATATGAAAAACTGAAACTGTATTATATAAAAAAGTGTGTTGCTTTCGGGAAAAAAAAAACTCATCATTTTACAAAACGATAAAAAAAGATTAAATGCGAGAAGAGTGTGAAATCAAAATTATAAAATTAATAAGGTTAAATTTGAAAAAAAAAATTAAAACAGGAGACAAAGAAAATTAATATCTTATATTTCATATTAAAACAGATATTAGATCTTTTTTTTTATAAAAAAAAAGCAGATTCTTTAATAATATATATATATAGAAATTTTTAAAAATCAATCATTGCAAGCATGTAATTAATGCAATTACTGGGAGTATACACAATAAGAAAGATTATTATGATTGGGAAATTATAAATAAAAAAAATTCCACTAAAAGCGTGCTATATGGCTAAATCATCAAAACGCACGAGTGGGATGACGACCTTCATTATTTCCTGTTTTACATTCCAATTCCACAGGTCTCTAAAAGCTTATTCTGATTTGAATGGCATCTACAAAACAGGGCATTAAAGATATCATAGGCCTAAGCTTTCGGCTGATTCCAAATATTTGAGAAACTTTTTTTTCTTTGCCAACCAAATATTTGAGAAACTAATTAACTATAGAGTGTGGACTAAGTTACACGAATGCATGCATATCCACCGACAATATATTCCTATGAATTAAAGTCAAGTATTTTCCCCCACCACACACAAACTGTCTAAATGACACTATTATTTATACTACTTCTGGTCCTAATTATAAAATCTCATTTGTAAATTATAAATGAGATCTTATAATTAGAACTGAAAATAATCTATATGTATGGACGAGATTTTGGATTTAAATTGAACATTAACACATTAAATGGATCGAATGGTTAAAAAAAAAGGGGTCTTCTGACATATGCAAATCAATATTATTGAAAGCAGTTGTGTCTAAAATCTTTTCATTAATGGTGCTTATTTTTGACAATGGAGGGAGTAACCTAAAAAAAAAACAAAGAAAGAGACTTTCAATCTATCAATATATCATTATGGAGTGATTGGCTCAGCTGTAAGGAGTTGTTCCAACTTAAACTAAAAGTAACAGATTTGATTACTGTCCATATGGATCCTATTATGATTTAATTCCAATTAGTTTGATTTGTAATTTTCTGAAGGTTTGGCCACGATACTGGGTGCTCTTTGGGAAAATAAAAGGCTTTCAATCTTATCATATTCCCTCTCTTTTCTTTTCTCAATGAACAGATGATGAGCTGGTGAGATCAGAATCATTTGCTTTTGCAGTTATCGGAGTGAAAGTGCCGAAATATTGGCCACAGGAGTTTTATAAGATATTGATGATCTGGTAGTCTGATGCAGATTCTCCATTCTTCATTTGAATTTCAAAGCGCATATTTAGCATTCACACATTCGAATGACAATTCATCAAAGCTTTAATGCCATTCAATGGTGCTGCTTTTTCCCGTAACTACACAAACTTAAAACTATCAACTCAGAATAAAACACAACGCACAAAACATGCAGCACTCACTGATTCTTCCGAGTTCATGATGAGACTGCTTTATTATTATTAGGATTAATATAATTTTTGTCATTCAAGTTTACACTCATTTTTGTTCCAATCTTTTAAATTTTAAACCATAAGTTTTGATCTCTCGAATGGTAAAATTGTTTAAGATTTTATTGGGTTGTAGGAACCAATATTATAAATGAAAATAAACTTGAGAAACCAAAACCAAAATAAAAACAAATTTGTGAGACAGCGTTAACCGTTTTCAGATTCAACTTCCAATATTATCATTAGTTTTTGTTGTTGTCGCCATTCTTCGTTCAACAGAAAGATTACTTTATTGCGTTTTACTACATTTGATGAACACGTAAATTGTTGGCCCAAAAAATCTATGTAAGAGATTTTATTTTTTATTTAAAAAGTAATATATTTCATTAAAAAAAAACTCGAAAAACAGGCTAGTTTTCTAGACGCACGTTCTAATCCCAGTTCGCTGCGCACATATTTAGGGCATTTGGCGGTTATCCAGTACCCACGTTTGCACACAGACGCCGGAGGACCTTCTTCTGATCTTTGACCATTTGACCTCACCAAAAAACGCGGTTCCACTCGGCTCGGTCCCCTCCTCAGCCACAGCAAAATGACCCTAATACCCTCAACAACTGTTATATTATTCTCCCAGGTCATCTGATATTCGCCTCACCATAGAGACGCCATTCTAGAAAAGCAACGTGTTGGCTAAGAAAATTAGCCCAACCTCGAATCTACCTTTATTTCAACCTTCAATATAAAATCCCACCACCCCCTTCTTCCTCTCTCATCATTCCTTCGTCTTCTTCAACACAACACAATGCGAACTGTTCAACATTCTAGAGAGAGAGAGAGAGAAACCGTGACTGGTTCAGATATGGAAGGCAAGCATCATAAGGTTTCCAAGGTTGGGTTCTTCAAGAAGCTGAGCAGACACTCGTGGAGGTTGAAGTTTTATTGGTCTTCGTTGAGATGGAAGAGGGTTCATTTGCCTGTTTCGTTCAT